CTTTCTGTTTTTTAACCTATTGGCAGTACTTTTAAAGATAGGTCCATTAAGGAACTTTTTCAAAGATTTGCTTTTTAAAAAACAGAAGAATAAAATGCTGATAGAAGTAATATATTCAAACGGCTATATCACAAAATGTGTTCTGAAGCTCATTTCCAGGTAAATCAGGATAAAATGCACTTGCAGAAACTTATCTATATATTTCTCAATAGTAGATTTTGCTATTCAATTTATGACTTTCTTCAGCAAATGGTAACAATGGCTCAGTTGCATTGCTTTATATTAGTCTGCTATCTTGCATAGATGAATGTTTCCATTAGCCTTCTTACTGGATCATTTAACAATTGCAGAACTCTTTCTGTTCCCTTGTGTAGCTGTTACAATCATATTTTGTGACAGATCATAGGGCTCGTAAAATAATAGGAGCATGATTTGGTGAATTGGCTATGCTACTAAAGAGTAACAGAAATATCTATCAAGGTTTTTTTTTTTTTTTTGGTAAATTTCCCTGTTTTTAAAAATGTTCATTTACTTGAAATCACAACCATGAAAATCACACAATTTATGCAATAAAAAAAGAAAGCAATTTCAATTCCCTTGCCTGACAAAATAATAAACCATATACATTCTGTTATAGTGCCTGTATAAAATTAAAACCATCTCTGTTAAAATGGAGGATAGGAGCCAAACATAGTATGCAGATCTGATCCACAACCTTTCCACAGGCATGTTAAGATCCATCCCAATGACAACAGGAGTCTTTCTTCACTTTTCTGTCTGTTAAGTATATGCAAGATATTTCATTCTAGTGGCAAAATATTCTAGAGAACTCTAGAATGTTCCATTCTTCCTGTGGACTGCACTAATCTGACCATTTGGGGAATGAACAGTGTGATTTCAGTTTCCGGAATTTTCTTCTTCCCAAATGGAAAATTTTGCACATCCCTATTTGTTATTAAGGTCCTCTACTCTGGTTTTCTCCTCATCATTTGGATTACAACTCCCATTTTATCTAATCGAAAATAAATAGTTGTATTGTGGATCTACCATCACAGTAAATAGTAGGAATGTTGACAAAGTAGATTGCTAGTCTGTTTGTAATTTTGCATTATTTTTGAACATGTCTTCGTATTCAGCACAGAAATAATAACATTTGCAACATTTTATTCAAAACTCCAAATTTAAAAGTAGCTAATGTAAAAACATGCTACCATTGTGAGAAAATCTGCATGCCTCATTCCAACAGGGGTAAGCATTGCTGTAAATTTCACCCAATGCTGTCTGACATATTATTTAAAAAAGCAGTTTTGTGAAGGATAATCTGAATTTCTGGACTCAGAAAGTTGAAATTGAGATTGCCTTGAATAATTTATTGATCCAAATCAATTTTTGTGGTTGACACACACTCATAATTTAGTAGTATGTGAATTAGCCCTTTCAGAAATATGTTGTCACAAGTCTTCATTGTCCCAGTTGTGTTGAGACCACTGCACACATTGTGCTCACTGTTTAATACTATTTACCACATAAAACATGTTTCTTATATTCAGATTTCATCTTTTTCCTCAAAGTCTTGGAAACATGTCAGCAAGGTAGCAGTAATTTTTCAGATAAGTTACTCTTCCCCCCTATCTGCCTTTAACCTTTATTTATTCTGGTTTTCAATCATATCCATGACAAAACCTGCAGTTTAGATTAAAAGGGGAACAATAAAATAACCATTAAAGTAAATTAGTTACTATATTTTTTATAAAAATGTGGATAAAACATTTTAACGCTTGATAATCGAATTTATCTAGAGAGAGATAAGTAGAGGCACTGAGTTGCATTGTTTCATAAATTATAGAGAGAATTCCTTCAATAGAAAGAGGCTAAATCTATAGTATCTTGCTTGTAAATTTCTCAAGTGAATATGGATTGCAGGTTTATGATATGACCCACTGCTGGAATTCCTACCATAAGTAGTCCTTGACTTACAACTGTAATGGAGCCTGTCTATTACAGTCATAATCTGTGATGGTCACAAAGCAGGTCATCACATGACTGAGCCAATTTTATAATTTTTTTTTATTTGAGGCAATTGTTAAGCAAACCCATTGTTTGCTATGCGGCATTTTTGGTGATAATCGGAAGCAAACGTTCCTTTTCAGCAAAAATGTTGTAAATCTCTGTCATGTGACCACTAGATGTTACAAATGGACGTGAACCCAATCAATTGCTGAGCACCGGAAATGCAGTCATGAAATTGGGGGCTGCTGGTCGTTGGAACTTTGATCGATTATAAGTCAAGGACTTCCTGTATTTATTTTTTTTCCCACGATCATTTCAACATCATACATATAATACCATTTTTTAAAAGTTACCGTCCAGAATTACAGACAACAATACATTAAAGATAAAAAAACAAAGTAAAAACAAAGCAAGATAAAAAAATATTGCAATTGAGCTTCCCTTCTTCATCCAAGATATCCTTATATGTGCCCATTTTATAGTTCCCTCTTCTATTTGGGGCCACTAGAGCATCCATAATCGACAACCAGCTAGGAACCTTGGTATATATCTTCTGTCTAATTTCCAGCCACGTACGGATCAATGTCTCTCTAATTTTATGTTTATAGAAATGAGTTTTCTTCCTATCCTTTATGTCCCAGAGGTAAGCGTGCCATCCTTCAAGGAGATCGTGTCCTTCTAGTGTCAAGATTCTACCTTCTTGTAATTTGATCCACTCCTTTATCCAAATTATTTTTGCCGCCTTTTGATATAATTCCCAGTCAGGGAGCCCGAACCCTCCCAAATTTCTTTTCCCTTGAAGTGTCTTGAGAGAAATCCTCGATTTCTTACCCTCCCACAAAAAATTCCTGATATGTTTATTCAGATCCGAAAAAAAATTTTTATCTAGTGATATCGGTATATTTTGAAATAGAAATAGAAATTTCGGTAAAATATTCATTTTGATCGCCGCAATTTTACCAGTCAGGGACAATTTAAGCCTCCTCCACCTATCAAGGTCTTGATTAGTTTTCTGCAATAAAGGGATATAGTTATCATCTTTTAATGAAGAGAGTCTCGCCGTAATCCATATTCCCAGATATTTTATCTTCTTAACTACCTGGAGGCCTAATAAATCTTCTAATTCTTTCGTTTGTAGGTTTGTCATATTTTTCACAATTATTTTGGTTTTGTTCTTATTAAGTTTAAGGCCCGCGACTTCTCCATAATTCTGAACTTCCTGCATTAATTTTGAGCCGGTGTCTAATGGGTCTTCTAATATGAAGGCAACGTCGTCCGCAAAAGCCTGTGTTTTAAATATTTCCTTCCTAATCTTCAAGCCTTTGATATTTTCATTAGTACTAAGCATTTGGGAGAAAAATTTAGGATATGGCCTTAATTTCAATGACTGGGAGATAGCTTGGAACAGAAATCTCAAAATAACGAAATCGGTAACATTCAGAGAAAATCACTACAAAATGTTGCATAGGTGGTACCTAGCCCCGGACAGGCTGGCCAAAATATTTCCAAATTCCTCTGCTTTATGTTGGAAATGTGGAAAGACGGTCGGCACCTTTTACCATCTGTGGTGGACTTGCCCTGAGACCAAAAAGTTTTGGTTAAAGATCCGACTCTGGCTCTCGGACATAATGGGACAAGAGATAGCCCTGGCCCCGGAATCCTTCCTCTTAGGTATGATTGAAGATGGTCTCGCCAACAATAAAACCCAACTGGCAATTCAAATTATTACTGCGGCTAGATTAGCCTTTGCGAAACTCTGGAAATCCAACTCTACCCCCTCTGAAGAAGCATTAATAAATAAAATTCTAGAGTGTGCAGAGATGGCTAAATTGACGAGCGAGCTAAAAAATGAAGAGAACTTCAAGTACTACGAAGTATGGGGAATTTGGTATAACTGGTTAAAGAATAGGATAAAAATATGATAATAGGCTACGATTTGTTAGACACCCGAAATGGACTTAATTGTATAGAAATGTAGAGAATTGTATAGAACTGTATATTGTATAGCTATGGATGGAATTCATTTAATGTTTGATCTATGAAATGTGTAAACATTGCACCTCGGATCAAGATTGTGATTGTACATTGTCTTTTTAAAAATTGGAAAATTCAATAAAGTATTTAAAAAAAAAATATTGCAATTGGTGGTGGGTTCATTTATGGTCAATCAAAGTCTGTCTAATTTTATAGACACTATGGCCAAATTTGGTTACGTTTAAAGCGACTGAATCATACTGGTCTGATAACAGCTATGCATAAAAATATCAGAATTTCCCTGGTGTTTTACAAGGCAAGGAGTTTGTAAGACAGGTCCTTGAATAGAGGGATATAGCAGGATACGAGCTGCTTTCAATATCCCTTGTCCAAAGGGGCACAATCTCAACTCATAGTTGACTTTTTCATATTGACTCTGAAACTGCTCTGGGGACGCATCGAAGTGTACTTTGTGCTCTTTGAAATTTGTAAATTAGTTATGTGGTCTAAGTCAGTGACCCCCAACCTTTTGGGAGTCAGGGACCAGTTCCGTGGAGAGTGGTTTTTCTGCAGACTGGGGTGCATGGTTTCACACACTTCAGGCATCCTGAGCATGCATGGATGGGACTTCTGTCACTTGCGTGGCCCAGTTCCTGGCTGGCCAAGGACTGGGGCTGGTCCACAGCCCAGGGGTTGGGGACCCTTGGTCTGAGTATCTCGCTAGGTTGTAAAAAGGTACCTGATTAAAAACATTCTTGGGCATCCACATCATCTACTTCCTCTTTTATACTATGCTGTCTAGCTTTAGGATACTGAGTTTATTGGATGTGGAATGCTACATGATGCTCTAATCCAGCACTGCACTTCCTTTCATTTCGCACAAAGATAATTTTAATACAACCTTTTGCTCCTTGATTTTTTTTATTTTTTGGTGTGGCCTAACTTCAAACATTTCTGAGTCCTAAATTGATTGCAAATTTGGTTCCTTGCATCAGAATTCTCCAGGTGTTTTAAAATTGCTATCTGTTTAGTTCCTCAGGTCTGAATCCAAGCCGACTTCGATCTTCTACTTCTCATTCATCTCCCTGCTCTGACCTGAATAATACAGATTTTCCTTTATTCTCATCAAAAAAAAGAGGAATTCATCAGCTAAGCTGTGATTCTGGGATTTCTTCTCCAGTAAGCATTCTGGTTCTGGGTTCTGTGGAAAGAAGCAGATCTTTATGGTAACCTCCATATTCGCAACTCACTGCTAGTTTTTCCACCTGGGTTATGAGAATGTAATCTCGTTCTTTATTTTTAGCCTTCAGATGTGAAGGATTGATAATATAATTGCCTGAAACAGTAATGGCATGATCTCACCAAACTTTCAAGTGGTTAAATTTTCCAGTTACTGCTTGTCTGCAGTTCATGAAAGGCTGAATTTCAGAGTGAAAAGTGCTCTCGAGCAAACATAGTTGAGAGCCAATCATATCTATTGTCATATCTTTGCTGGCTATTATCCTGGAGCTTTTTTTTTTCCTGCTAGGAAGCTTATCAGCCCTGCTTCAGTTTATATGTCAGTTCCTTTGCTGCAAACATATTGCTTCATGAGAAAAATATGGTGCTATTTGTTCTTTTAGCAATGGATTTTAGATCTGATCTGTTGGAAGTGCAGTTTATTTACTTAGGTTCAGGCAAGTAAGAGTAATGGAGAAAGTAAGGGGTGATTCTTGGACCTAGGAATGAGAAGAATTCAAATACTTCCATCTAAGCCATGGTATAAAATGGACACTTATGGAACTGATGGTGATTTTAGGTAAGCCTTGTCTTCAGGGCAAGTGGATAACACAAGAGAATAAACCCATCATCTGCCTCTTCTTTGGGCCTTACTTCACTTCATTGAGTGATACTGGTACAGAATATTCTTCAGTATGAACTTTCAAGGACACCCATAAATGCCAGAGTTCCATATGTGTACCTAGCAATGGGTCATGTTTTGATGATGCTGAGAAAGACCTTTTCTTAACTTCACTCAAGTTTATCTTCTCTAAATGGTCACTCTTTTAGTTCTAGTTCCAGCTATCTTTTTTTTTTTTTACAATTTCACTTTCTTTTTAAAAAATGTCATTTTTTAAAAGGGGGGGGGATTTTTAAAATTTGAAAATAGTTTTAAACCTCTATATTCATCTATCTATCTATCTATCTATCTGTCTGTCTGTCTGTCTGTCTGTCTGTCTGTCTGTCTGTCTGTCTGCCTGCCTGCCTGCCTGCCTGCCTGCCTACCTACATCTATCTATCTATCTATCTATCTATCTATCTATCTATCTATCTATCTCTCTATCTAACATCTCTCTATCATCTATCTCTCTATCATCTCTCTATCTCTCTTTCTATCTATCATCTATCTCTTTATCTCTCTATCTAACATCTCTCTCTCTCTTTATCATCTCTCTCTCTCTCTTATCATCTCTCTCTCTCTCTAGCTCTCTCTAGCTATCTATCATCTATTTTTATAAACTGCCCAATTCCAATAAACTATATGAAGTTCGTTAGTAGGTTTGTCATTGTCTAAAGAGCCAATCAATCAGTATTTGGCACAGACAAACCTTGAACAAGGCACAAAAGACATTGGGAATCCTGTTTTAAGGATGGGTGCAGTATGAATCTAGCTTCTGGTGAGAACATTACTTAATACAATTGCATGGAAAGCTCAGTTGGAAATTATGTCTGTCTCTACGTATGTCTGAGCTAGCTGGATAGTCTTAAATACATGGACAATTCTTGATTTTTACCCATCTGTCTAGACTGCCTCTCTTGACCTTTCCACACAATTGCCAAGAAACTCGGTAGCATGCAGTGAAGTAAAAAGAAAATAAGCTGCACATGTCCATCTAAATAAAAGCAAAATCTGTTTCAGAAATGGCATTGCATATGTTTCCTTCTGGAGTTGATCTTAGCTTTAAGGAGCATGATTGTTTCAGTTTCAATAAACTAAAGTCACTGAAAATCAAATAATGCTTACTGTAAATAACTGAAATTGAAAATTAATTAAAATAAAGGATGATTTTCTATTATAAGATACCACTGCAGTACAAATTGTTTTCATTTTGCTTCTCTCCTTTCAAGCTTCCATCAGATATATTCAAGTATGTTACCTGGCATGAATTAGAAGAACATGATGTTCAAGGGAGTCAAATCTGCTGCCCCCGAGTAAGAAAAGGTAGACCAATAACTCTTTGTAACCTCCATGATAATAGAGGAATGGAATGGCCAAGTTCTGGATTCTAGACTGATATTCTCCTTCACAGACATTCAAAAAGAGAAGGATAGTTCTTCAAAGAAGCTGTCCTCACAATGTGCACTCCCAGGTTGCTTAGACCTCTGCTCAAGCACACAGTGACTTCAGAATTCAGAATTATATTTATGTGTGCAAATCTGTAGTTTAAAGGGATCAGAAAGCTAAAAGAATAGTGTTGGTTGAAGGCACCATAATTGGACATAGGTGCTTTTGAAGAAACAATTGGACCTTCCTAGTTTTTCCTTGAAAATGTTTTGCTTCTTATCCAAGAAGCTTCTTCAGTTTTGTTCTCAAGAGGCAACTGGACTTTCTTAGTTTTTTCCTTGAAAACATTTCACTTCTCATCCAAGAAGTTTCTTAAATTCAGTTCAGAACTAAAGAAGCTTCTTGGATAAGAAGTGAAATGTTTTCAAGGAAAAAACTAAGGAAGTCCAGTTGCCTCTTGAAAAGAGCCTTTGGGACAACGATGACTTGGATGATTGAGAATCTCCCTAGACACCACTGAGGGAAAAGGATGTGGGGTAATGGTATTGCTACTTTTTAGAGGACCTTACTGTCTGTTTAATTTATGCTCTGATATTCCCATACCCCAGGGTTTTCCAACCTGGCCAATTTTAAGTCATGTGGACCTCAACTCCCAGAATTCCTCAGCCAGGTTTTAAAGTTGCCACAGTTGGAAAATCATGTGGTAGCCCAATTGCTATTTCCTTCTTTTTCTAAACTATATGCTATTTTCCTCGCTCTCTTTCTGAAATTCTCAGACTTTATTTTTTGTTCTTCTATCAGGAACCGGGGAAACCATTCTCAATTATTAGTACATGCTCCATTCAACAACACATAGAGATTTCCATGTGAAATCTCTATGTGTTGTGAAAGGATTATTAACCGATCAATCTTTGGAGGCTACTAAAGTTACAAGAAGAATGACTTGCCAGCTTCCAAAAAGCTATATTGAATGTTTGGATGGTTTTAGTATTCATAAACAAAAGGAAAACTGCTTTTTCTTGGAGCAGTGAGTAGCAGTTTATGGTTTATAAATGTCAAATTTGTGATTCTCCAACTGTTGCTGGATTATAATTTCAAACAATTTTTGCTATTGCCTACATTAGCTGGGAAAGTAGGAGCTGTATTTCAGAAGGGCTATTATATCTGGGCTCCAAAAACTGAACGATCAGCAGGTAATACTAAAGTAATACAAAAAGTCTCAACTTTGCTGCCATCTATTGGTTGTGCCAATATTTGGAGCCCAAAATATGGTAGCCTTCATTTCATCAACAATTGAAGGACAACAAATTCACCATACCTGGTTTACTAGACTGTCTGCCTTTATGATATAATAAATATGTCTGGGAAAAGTTCTATAATGATAAAGACAGTGGTTAATGGATTGTTAATCAGCCAGTATCACTGCCAATCTCCTTATTGTTGGCAAATAAAATTATTTACTCTTACTTAATTCCCCACCCTTCAAAGTAGATGAGTGTTTTTGGCCATCACATGACAGTACTGGTCCACTGTGCCATTCAAAGGGAAATTTGACAAATTCACAAATCTACTAGTGATTGCTAGTTATGACTGTTTACATATGAAAAATATTCAATATTGTCCTTCACCCACAAAAAACCCTAGATTCTATACTTTTCCCATCTTGGTGTCCTCCAAACTTCTAAGCCTATATAATGATGAAATAAAATGTTTGATTAATCAGCTAAAATGATTTCATCACTAGGCAGCTCTGATTATGCTGTACAACAGAAGTTAAACAATCATCTACAGAACTGCAGTAAATTATTTCTATATATACTGACGTGGAAGAAGCAATCATAAGACATATGGAACAAAACAAAATTTGGCAGCAGAGATAGGAAGGAATAGATATCATTTGGCTTCCTGGCAACTTCATTATTTTCTCCCCAAAAATAATCTTGAAAGCATTCCAATATGGCAAAAATATTACTGTAAGGACAGACATCCATAATCCTCCAAATTTCCTATTTAATGTTTTGTTTCAAGCAACCAGATTGATATCAGATAGATATCAGACTCGGCTGCTTTGAGGTTTTAATACTAAATGTTTTATTTATATTACTTTATTAACTGGGCTAAATAACCAAATAATTTTTTTAAAAAATTTATTTATATGCCGCCCTTCTCCGGAGACTCAGGGCGGCTTACAATGTGTTAAGCAATAGCCTTCATACTTCTGTATATTTATACAAAGTCAGCTTATTGCCCCCACAAACTGGGTCCTCAATTTACCTACCTTAGAAAGGATGGAAGGCTGAGTCAACCTTGAGCCTGGTGAGATTTGAACTTACAGTAATTGCAGACAGCTGGTGTTAATCACAATGCTATCAGTCTGCTGAGCCACCAGGCCCCTGGTGGCTAATTGAAGAAGCATTATGTTAAAAAAAAATTCAAGGAATAGAAATACACATTATTCTATGTGTGTGTCTCTGTCTCTGTGTCTGTGTAATGCATACTTATCAAGTTAATGTACCTTTTAAAAATATTTGGAAGAAACATTTTGGATCTTTGAGTAGCACAAATATTATACCCCTCTGCTATTCTATATTAGTTGTCCAGGTTTTTTTTTTCAGTTGCAATAATTTTTCTTATGACATTTGATGAATGTAAAAATAGGACCTTGACGAGTAGGACAGAAAATGTACTAATATTGTACTTTCAAACTTTGGTGCTAGAGAAGACTCTTGTGGATACTATGGATAGCTTACACTAGAGTTCCTCAACCTTTCGGGCTTTGCAAATCACCAGCCACCAGCCACTTCTGTGACCTGGTTCTAAAGGGCTCGAGGCCCAATAATGGGCTGTAGCCCAGGGGTTGGAGCAGGGGTGAAATTCAGCAGGTTCTGGAGAATTGGTAGTGGAAATTTTGAGCAGTTTGGAGAACTGGCAAATACCACCTCTGGCTGGCCCCAGAGTGGGGTGGGAATGGAGATTTTGAAATATCCTTCCCCCAGGAGTGGGGAGGGAATGGGGATTTTGCAATATCGTTCCCCTACAAATTTCCTTTGATAAGTTAATAATGTGGAAGGTATTGAAGGAAAGAAGAGAAACCCACAAAGGTGGATGGGACTCAATGATGGCAGTGAATGCACAACTGAATGAACAGATGCTGAAGGTAAATCATCCAACAAAGATTCTATCTATGTGCTTACCAGTAGTCAACACCAACTCAATAGCAATAAAGAATTACCTAACTACAACAACTGCTTAAAGCCATCACAACATTTTTTCCAAATGTTTGTATAGAAGCCAGAAATAATTTGGGCTGCTTTAACAAATAACTGAGAAATAGTATGCTTGCATTTGCATGACACCTGAAACACTTCTTCTGAATCATTTTTGAACAAAATACAACCCTAATACTTATATAATGCACTAAATGTTACAACTAGGATATCCAGAAAGGAAAAAAAACCCCACAATCTTAACTGGAAGACATGTTTACTAGATCACAAAACATATAAGCATGTTTCCAGGTTTTCAGAATTCTTCATTGATAGGTAAGGTCACAAAAACTGAAATAGGGAAGAAACAAGCAAATTAAAAAAAATAACAGATGTTCTAAAATGGATGGAGATTATGGATGAACTGCATAGTAAGCATGGAACGTACGAACGGCTAATTATTAGGAAAGGTATTTCCAGTGTTGGGGTCGAATTTATGACTTAATATTCTATAATGGAATATACACAGATATTACACAAACACAATTTGTGATGTATAGATTCAAACTAATGCTATTCAGCAAATTTGCATATTTTTCCACATTAACAATTTATTGCATCATTTAGCTATCATTGTAGTGATGAGATGCTAATGAGGGCTGTGTTGCCAATGTGCTATTTGAGTGACACTGTTAATTGGCAGTGGAGTAATGCCCTTATTTGATTACAGTGTCAAATTGAAAAAAATACATACACTGTATTTTTTGGAGTATAAGACGCACCATTTTCCCACACAATAGAGGGTGAAAATCTGGATGCGTCTTATACTCCGAATGTAGCACCGCCCAGCTTCTCAAACGGAGGTTTCAGAGGCTGAAAAAAGCATCAGAAACAAAGCTTCAGAAAAGAAGCCCCCAAACAGAGCTTCAGAGACTTTTATTCTAAAGCTCTGTTTCAGAGGCTTTCAGAGGCAGGAAAAAAAGTTTTTTTCTGAAACAGAGTTTCCAATGTTTCAGAGGCAGAAAAAAAAAAAAAAAAAAAGCAAGGCACAGAGCTCACAACCAAGGAACCTGTTGCTAAAATTCACCTCTGGGAACAGCTGATTGGGGGTATTTTGGGAGGCAGATCCACCTGCCAATCAGCTTTTTTCTTATTTTCCTTCCCAAAAATTAAGGTGTGTCTTATACTCTGAAAAATATGGTATGTGTTGTTGTGGAAAATAAGCACTTACATTCTTTCCATCCTTAACGCATTTCTGTTTCCTCTTCTGAACTTTCATCTGTACATCAACTTACTTTAATCTAATTTTGTCTTTTGAAATATTCAAATTTACAAGTAGTCATGTGATACTGGAATGGATAAATATCTAAATACATTTAGGACCTTCTGAAGAAGAATGTTTTTTTAGAGGAGAAGAATATGGTCGTTGTGCAAGAAAAAAAATGACAGAAAAAGAGAGATGGGAGCAGTGGTTACAAGAAGACTGGGAAAACTGTGTGGTAAGTGCTAAGATTATGAATGTATGAATCTTGTTGCTTTTATTATTATTAATTAAATACATATGCCCAGTGGTGAGATTCAACTGGTTGTCTCCGGATTGGGCAAACCAGTAGCGGCAACTGCGGGAGGCTCCGCTCACCTGCCTGGATGTAATGCGCGAGCACTGCACATGCACAGAAAGCTGTGCGCATGTGTACCTGCGCTCACATTTGTGAACCCGTAGAGAAGGTATGTGAATCCCACCACTGCATATGCCTATATTCCCAATGACTCTGGGAATATAGATACAGATAAAAACATTACAGGCAAGGGGAAAAAAATACAATGTCAGAAAAAATGAAGAGTAAAAATGGCAAGGACAGCCAATGAATAAGTAATAGACGGAAACAAAAAGAAACAAACACAATCCATTCTGAATTCTTTGGGCTTGTTATTAGCTCTAAAATAGGTGCCTATTATCAAGAAATTGTGAAATTCAGAGGCATTCATTGCCCTGGTACTTAGATCATAGATATCTAATTTAAATTTCACATTGCTTTTAAACAGGTACAGATTTTTAGAGTTCATTTTCTTTTTGAGTTAAGTTCCTTGTAAACAGATAAAAGATAGCTTGCGAGCTGTTCAATATTTCTCTCAGACACTCAGAAATAAAGAGATCCAGAGTTGTTCCTGTCAAATCTGTGTTCCAAATTGTTAAGGGAATTTAGAAAGAAAAACTTTTGCAATCAAATTATCTTGTCTGTAATTGCCTCAATCATTTCTTCTAGGAACAGCCAATAATATAAAATAATAGCAATACACCACGTCAAAATAGATCATATCTGTTGGGGTTGGAACCAAGACTGAAATCAATTTTTCAACATAGTATCAGTACTATACTAGTTCTTTAAAAAAGTGACAGCTTGATTTCTCACTGTTTTGCAGAAATAGGGTATGTCTAGTGGTGTGTTGAAAATTTATTTTGCATTTTTCAAAACCATTTTCATTCGGTTAGAAAAATATTGTTTGCTTTCAGAAGAGAAGGTGATTTTGGTTAAATTCTCATGACTTTAGTTACCAAGTAAACAAGTAGCAGTGGTAGTTCAATGGTTAAAATGCAGTATTGGAAGCTAATTCTTCTGCCACCAGTTCGATTCTCACTGGCTCAAGGTTGACTCAGCCTTCCATCCTTCTCGAAGTCCATAAAATGAGGAGCCAGATTGTTTATTTGTTTGTTTGTTTGTTTGTTTGTTTGTTTAATTTTTATACCGCCCTTCTCCCGAAGGACTCAGGGCGGTGAACAGTCAGAATAACATACATATAATGTGAAATAAAAATAATTTAAAATAATTAAACCAATTTGGCTCATCAATTAAGATCTTCAGCGTAGAATTTAGATAATCTGAAAAATTTATGCCAGTCCGGCTTGGTGAAATAGAAAGGTCTTCAGGACACGACGGAAAGTACGGAGATCTGGGATCATTCGTATCCCTGGGGGTATCCTGTTCCATAGGGCAGGTGCCCCCACAGAGAAGGCTCTCCTCCTGGGAACCACTAGCCGACATTGCTTTACTGACGGTACTCTGAGCAGGCCCACTCTGTGGGAGCGTACTGGTTGGTGGGAGGTTATCGGTTGCAGAAGGTGGTCTCGTAGGTACCCAGGTCCTAAGCCATGGAGCACTTTAAAGGTAAGAACCAACACCTTGAAGCGCACTCGGAAGACCACCGGGAGCCAGTGCAGCTCGCGTAGGAGAGGTGTTACATGTGAGCGCCATGTCGCTCCCATAATCACCTGCACGGCCGCATTCTGGACCAGTTGGAGCCTCCGGGTGCACCTCAAGGGTAGCCCCATGTAGAGAGCATTACAGTAGTCCAGTCGGGAAGTGACGAGGGCATGAGTGACTGTGCAGATTGTTGAGGGGGAAGGCAATATGCTGACTCTGTAAATCACTTAGGGCTGTAAAGCACTGTGAAGCAGTATGTAAGTCTAAGTGCTATTGCTACCAAATAACTCAGAAATGTATATAAGCATCCCCAACTTTCATTATGGAATCCTCCTTCCAGTGGATGCTTTCTTCACTACCACCTCACACTGCCCCACACTGCCCCCCCAAGCTATTATTTATTAAATTGGATAAAAAATAAACAATGGTTTAGTCTGAATCTAAATCATGCTGTGAAAGAAACACTTGATCTTTGTTAGATACTCAAATGAATTAATTTATATATTCTGCCTTTCTATCAGAGTTTAAATCTTTCATATCAAGATCTGGGAGATCCTTATCAGATAGACAACTGTAAAAGAATTCTCCGCCGATTAATTCGAGTGGAGAGGCTTTGGCTGGTGGACAACTCCCTGACAGATCTAAGTGCCATATGTTTGCCAAGGTAATTTTCCCCCGTTAACAGGTACTTTCCCACTTTTCATTGAAAGCAATGGCAATGCACATGCAATCACTGCTACGGTTTTAATCATGGCAAAAAATCCAAGATACCAGTAAAAAGAAATCTGTGCCCACTCTTAAGAGATTTTAAAGCATTGCTATAGTCTAAAATTTTATTTTCTCTTTGTGTAATAGTTGATAGCACGTTCCTTTATGCTTTTTTTACAGGTGCAAAGAACTCAAACTCAGTAAAAATCATTTTACATCCTTCAGACAGCTGCCAAAAATACCTGAAATTCAACACTTGTCCTTAGATGAGAACAATATCACAGCCTTAAACGAATTATCAGCCTTGAAATATGCTCCATTAGAATCTCTTATTCTCAAGAGGAACCCCTGTGAGTTTCAAGAAAACTACAGGCAGCTGTAAGTTCCTGGAAACCACTAAAGTGTGATTTGAGAGAATATTATTCCTAGAGAGCATAATTGTAAAATAGCAGTGGTAGCAAAAACAAACAAACAAACCCATTACTAGAATAAATGACATTCATACAGTGCCCATAGTCTCAGTAAAACTGGGCTAAACCAAGCTGTGATTCACCATCAAATGTCATATATTCTCCCTTAGCCGCAAACTGATTCACCTAAGAAGTCCCTAGCTCATCATTATTTGTTCAATCCCAAACTAGGACTCCATGATTATCACCTTTGGAACAAACCAGAACTTTTAATTATTATTTAACAACTTATCTTGGTAATCAGTTTCTTGGGTTGAATGAGTCAGGAACATCTAATGAGTCAGGAACATCAATGCCTGGAATGCTCTACCCGCCTCCATTGTTACATCCTCAACCCCCCATAGCTTCAACCTTAAACTGTCTACCATGGACCCCACCCCATTCCTAAGAGGAAGGGGGTGTGCATAAGCGTACCAGCGTGCCTACCATCCCTGTCCTGCTATCCCCATTTATTTGTATTCATCCCTTCGTTCATGTCCATGTTCAGACTTATACCTGGTATCTTGTACATGTTTGACAAACAAACAAACAAACAAAGTTTCTCAGAGGATTTCTGGCTTAACTATAAAGGGCAAGTGATGTTCCATTCATGAATTCAAAATGCTCATTAATAAGATCAACTGACTTCCAGTGCAGGAAAATGAACATATCTGAATATCATATGTGAACAATTTCCCAGAAAGCACCGCCTCTCATCCATCTTTCTTGCTTCAGCTGATAACGGAGAATGAACAAACAAGGGCCTGTTTGTTTGTTTGTTTGTTTGTTTGTTTGTTTGTTTGTTTGTTTGTTTGTCTTTCACACTTCATAACTCCCTCAGAGAGGAGCCCTGGGCAGTGTACAATTTAATCAATAAAATTAAGCATTAAAAACAGAATAATGTTGACTTAAATATAACCCCATTACAAAGAACTTGTCTATGCACTGCTCTCAATGCCAACCAAGATGAAGTTCAAGAAAAAAGGGAAAATGCTCAGAAGTTTATTGATGGACTTTCCCAAATGTGAAAATAGTAAGATGCTATACTCTGGAAGCAATGCAAAAAAACAACAACAAAAAAACAACCCTACACTAACATCCTGTGACTCTACATGGAGTGAGGTAGTTACTTCAAATAACAGATGATGGATAATAACGGTTAAAGCTGCACCCAAATCCTGCTGGGCACCTTCTGGAATTATGGCATGAGGTATAAGGCTCTCAGCTGCAATGTAAAATATTTTTTCCATTGCCAGTGTAAGAAAGGGTTAGGGTTGCCAGTCTAATAAATGTTTCTTCTAGAGGAGAGGATAATATTATGTTTTTTGCCTGGAGCAAGAAAATCTCTTCAGTTGGCCTTGTGGTGCTCACTTTTAATTGATTCTCCTGGCAACTTTACTTTTTGTTTTGGCTTTTCAGTTTGTGATATCTTTCTCTCAGACACATATAACACAAGTTTCAGAGGTGACGAAACAAACTGGGGGTATATGTGTCAACCAAAGGAGTGCCTCCCTTATTAGAACAAAGCTAATAGACTCTGTTCTCAGAACATCCATAAAGGATTGTGCATAGTGCAGAAGAAATAACATAATACATATCAATTGGTAGTATAGGAAGTTAGCAACCACCCCTCCCCTAGGAAAATGAGATATTTTAGGAAATATTAAAAGGACAGAATATTTTCCCTAAAAGGGAGGCAGAAACTCACCCCCCTTTGTCAATGGGCCATTAAGGCCTGAGCCAGTCTATTCTACATAACAAAGATCTAACTCCTTCAGACAGAGCCATTTAATTGCCCTTCATTGCATCACCCAGCAAGATTCAACCAAACTTAACACAGAAATAACCTAAAAAGCTAGCTATGACCTCTCACAGCAACCAATCAGAATACTCTTTCTGTGTCCTAGGAAGTTCAAAACCAGAGAGGGTATAAAACCCAGGGACTCTCAGCATCTCTTCCCATTTCTGCCCAGGATCTCAAGCCATGTGATCCTGTTCATCAATAAACCTTCTTTCCAAGCAACTTCCATGAATCCAGTGTCTTTTTCCCTACTTGGAACTGAACCCAGATGACATTTCTTCCAACAGTAGTCCACAGAATTTATAATCTGCCTTTAAATTCCCTTTGCATCTGAAAAAAAAATAGATCAAGGATTCGTCTCCTACCATTCAGAATGTGATATAAAATTTGGTGGAGTGAAGGAAAGAGTTTCAGCTGCATATTACATGTTTTACGCCAATTCTCCTGCTTGTGGGAACAATAGCAATAGCAGCATTAAGTTAAATGAGTTCAGACAATGAAGGAAAAAAATAACAATTTCTTTCTCAATTTTATTACCTCACAGCGTGTTCTCCAATTTGCCAAATCTGAAGATGCTGGATGGGATCCTAAAATTGCCAGAGGACTGTCTTCCACTAGGAAGGAACTTTTTGTCTAAATTATGCACCATATTGTAGCATTATATTTTCTAACAGGATTGAAGGATTTGCCATGTTTAAAGGAATAAATCTTAGGGACACACAGCATTTTTTTTGTCTTAACAGTCTATCATTTTGGGTCTACAGAATACAAAAATATGCTTCCTGGATAAAGAGGTGACTACTTTGAATATTTTTCCTAATCCTTGTGTTTTTTAAGTTACTTATTTATTACATTTATTTCCAATCTCCTCACCAAGGACTTCTCAAGGATTTCATTTTCTTCATACCTCTATGTAGGAGATTAACCCCTACAATATTAGAACAAAGCCTTCTGCCCATTTGAAAATTGAATTTTATAAGATGCATTTTAAAAAGCAAAATAGGAAAACTCAGGCTGAATTTTTAAGTAGAATGCCGAATGATTGTGCCTTCCTTCTATTAGATGTTGTTTTAAGGCATGAAGAATGTATTTCATGAAGAGCCATCCCAAACTCTGAAAATGCATATATAGGTTTAAGGAGGCCATTTCCTCTGGAACACTCTCTTGGATCAGGGTTTGAATGCAAACATTCTAATCTTCTTTCAATTTGTACAATCTTAACCTTTAGAAATCTAGGAAACATGAATTTATTGTTCATGTCTTAAGATAGGAATGATCAGCTTGCTAACAACCAGTGCTATATATATAGGTAAAGAAAAGATAATGGAATCATACTCCAGTACAGATAGTTCTTGATTTATAACCAGTGGTGGGATTCAAATAATTTAACAACCGGTTCTCTGCCCTAAAGACCAGCTGGGTGGGCGTGGCCATGCTGGGCATGTCCAGGGAGTGTGATAGGCAGCACTCGGCCTCCTGCACCCCTCTGGGAGCAAAAATGGGTCACGGTGGGGACGAGCTGCCCCCCATACCTGGTTTTTGGCCTAGTAGGCCTCTCTGCAGCCTCCTGGGAGTGAAAATGGGCCACAGGGGGGCCATGTGGTCCCCCATGCCCCATTTTGAGCTTAGGAGGCCTCCCTGGGAGTGAAAATGGGCCGGGAGGCACTCCGCCTCCCAGCCCATTTTGAGCCTAGGAGGCCTGCCTCCCTGCACTTATCTGGGAGCCAAAATGGGGTGCATGGGGACTCCTGGAAAGGGCGGGGAGGGGAGGGGCAGGGCCAATTTAACTACTGGTTTGCCCAAACCAGCTGGAACTGGCTGAATCCCACCACTGCTTATAACCACAATTGAGCCCAAAATATCTGTTGTTCAGTGAGACAGTTGTTAAGTGAATTGCCCATTTTACAACCTCTCTTTGCCATAGTTGCTAGGTGAATCACTGCAGTTATTAAATTAGTTACATGCTTGTTAAATCAATCTGGCTTCCCCCTTGACTTTTCTTGTCAGAAGGATGAAAAAGAGGATCACATGACCCTGGGACACTGCAAATATCATAAATATGAATCAGTTGCCAAACATTTGAATTTTGACCATGGGATGCTGCAATGGCTGTAAGTGTGAAAAACTGTTATGAGTGACTTTTTTCAGTGCTGTTGTAACTTTGAACAGCCATTAAATGAACTGTTGTAAGTCGAAGGAATCTGGAGACAAACAGCATCTACATCTGTTTAACCTCTGGCAAATCGAATCTTGGAAGCTCTTTGTGAAGAAAGAAGTCTCTGAAGCAACCATTTTATGACAGCCACTATAACGTGTTTTCAGGATTTCAAATACACCCACCAGGCAGTGGTGGAATTCAAATTTTTTTACTACCGGTTCAATGGGCGTGGCTTGGTGGGCGTGGTGTGGCTTGGTGGGCATGGCTTGGTGGGTGTGTCAGGGAAGGATATCGCAAAATCTCCATTCCCACCCCACTCCCGGGAAAGGATACTGCAAAATCCTCATTCCCTCTCCACTCCTGGGGAAAGGCTATTGCAAAATCTCCATTCCCACCCCACTCTGGAGCCAGCCAGAGGTGGTATTTGCCAGTTCTCCGAACTACTCAAAATTTCCACTACCGCTTCTCCAGAACCTGTCAGAACCTGCTGAATAGCACCCCTGCCACCAGCTCAAGAAATTGGTGATGGTGAGAAACAAAATTAAAAAGAAAAAAAAAGAAAAGGAGAAAAGAACATATTAAAATACATATGGAAAATAGTTCAGTTTTTCAATCTTGACCACATGGAACAATATTGATCTCTCTTTTCATTATATTTAGAAAGACTCGGTTCATAGGCAGACAGCAAACAGCTATCATCAGTCCAAGTTTGTATCTCTGAGGTAAAGCTGTCTTTACATTATATACCTTTCAGACTAAGCCCAAAGACCATGCAGTGAAATTTAATCAAGTCCAATCGTTTAGTTGCTTATGGCTAATAGACAGAATCTTTCCAGACTAAAGTTATAACTTCTAACTTAAAAGCTAAACCCTGAGGGATTCCAGGGTGTGGCTACCCCGAACCTTCTCTCTCCTCATACATCTCAGGACTGCACAGTCCCTTAATTTGGGCTTCTTTCCAGAATGCACTGACTCCTCCTTGGGAAAGCACAATGCTCATGCCTGGATTTCCCCCCTCCCACACACACAAACACAGCTTCTCCAGGTGCACATTCCATGACACAATAAATCCAAATTACTTTGAATTTTTATAAATTCCAAATTTGAATATATAATTCAACAATACATGACAACTTTAAATGCCATTCCTTTTAGTAATCAATAACTTATACATGTTAAACCAGAATTGACCTTAGTTGAACAAACCTCTATTGTATCAATATACATAGGTTTAGTATCCACTTCATTATTTTTCATCTCCAGCCCTTTTCAAAGAGTATCAGAATGGTCCAATTAGCAGTGTCCCGAGGGAACTCATGATGCCAAAATGACACATGTTTATTGATATCATTTTGCAAATGCCATCATTGTGTACTAGAATCCCATCACATTTGTATGGTAATGTCATCAGGCACATTTGTCATTGCTCCTAGGAGATGCCTATGAATTCTATAAACATGAAAAGCAATATATTGTTTTTTTTAAAATGCTCTTATCTTAAGAAAATAAGAAACAGACTTAATTTATCAATATGGCATAGTCCAACTGTTTTCCCAAAAATCATGCAAATAATCAATTTACATATTACTAGTATTTTCTCATTATCCAGTAAAAATAATGTAGATTTGGCATAACTCAGAAGACACTTCAGGGCTAAGAGTAGTTCAGGACATTTAAATGCCACCAACGCAACTCCCTGCTCAGGCAGGAAATCATATACCATTTCAGACAAATGGTTGTCCAACATCTTCTTAAAAACCTCCAGTATTGGAGCACCCACAACTTCTGAAGGTAAGTCACTCCATTGATTAATTGTTCTAAGTGTCAGGAAATTTCTCCTTAGTTCTAGGTTTCTTCTTTCCTTGATGAACTTCCATCCATTGCTTCTTGTCCTGCTTCAGGTGCTTTGGAAATTGTGTTGACCCCCTCTTCTTTGTAGCAAAACTTGATTTTCCTAACTTTTCACAACTCGGCACATCCCAAGACTTCATGGTCTATAATTCTCATCACCACCAGTCAGCATCAGTGGTGGGTTGCTCCCGGTTCTGTCCGGTTCTATAGAACCAGTAGTAAAACCCATGGGAGGCTCCACCCACCCTCCATAACGTCATCATGGGTGATCTGCGCATGGGCTCCCTCTGCGAACTGGTAGTAAAGGTAAGTGGAACCCACCCCTCGTCAGCATGGCAAGGGATGTCTGAAGTAGAAGTCTGACACATCTAGAAAATCATAACAAATTACATTAACCTCTTTTGGGATTAAGCTGATCGGCAGCTATTTCAGGATAGATACAGTTCCTTTCCTACTAACTATGTAGTAAAAATACGACCCTGGGTTTAACGCAGAATTAGACAGTAACTGTAAGCCTTGACAGCTAAATCATTGTAGATATATTACAACTTGGTTTTGCGAAGCTGGGTGATCTGTTAATGTGAATGCATCCCAGTTTTCTGTTTCTTCCAACCTTCACTATATATCTGTGCTGTACCAATGAATTCTAGTGAGCTTCAATACTGCAGTGACAGGAATCTACAGTAACTTTACCAAAGAGAAGCATAAAGCTGAGGTCGGTGATGGGAGACTTGGGTGTTTTTTTTATTATTTTTTTAGCAAAGATATATGATGTCCTGCCATGGGATGTATTGCAATAGGAGCTAATGGAACAATTTGTCTTCTGCTGCTTCCTCTTCTGCTGATTAAAATCAAATCCATTTCATTCATTATTCAGCAGCTCTCACTTGGGCTGTAGGCTGGACCTAACCACTTATAAAATTCATGACCATACTCAGTCAGCAGTCCTACTACTACTAGTCCTAAAACAGAAAAATGAATTTAACATATCTACTGGCAGATGCTTTGATCAATTTCAATACACATTAAAAATACACAGGGGCAGGATAACAGAACTGCAGTCCAATACACACTATTAAGTTGTTTCAGAGCTATCATTTTTCATTTGAGATCTCTGTCCAGTGGGGTGTGTGTGTGTGTGTGTATTCAGTTAACATGCTGTCTTTCATACTAATAATTGAAAATGCTGACAATAAGAAATGAGATTCTCTCATAGCATTTGCCTGGGATCAAAAGAATGATGTAAATAAATATAATCAAGGAAGGCGAGAGGTTAGGACAGTGATGGATTAGCAACTATCATTGAACTCATGAATAATCAAAGCACAAAGAAGTAACATCCCAAAAATCAAAGGAAAAGAATGATTCTGTAGTGGGTGTGAGGCAGGACCACAACTGACAGAATACTTTGTTTCTACCTCTATCAAAGTATCCCTTATTTTATGAGCTGGATTCCCATTCAACCACACAGAACTGTGGAGAATTTCAATCCTATGGCATACATTTCATTTATTTATTAAATGAATTTATACAGCCAACCAAATCACACTGATGACTCCAGGTGGTTTACAACATTAAAAAAAAAAACCCACAATATAAAAATCATAAAATCCATTGCACCCCATGGCAATCAAACCACACAATCAAACAAAAAACCCTATTGGGAGCCAATCATACCTCAAGGAGAATAATGTTCCAGACCCCACTGAGAAGGCC